CGACATCGACCACTTCTTCGAAATTGGGAAAGAACCAGAACAGGGAGCAGAAGCTACTGGCCAACCCGAGGCCGAAGGTGTCGATATGGAAACTGAATGTGAACAGGAGAAGGAGGAGCAGGACGTTGACATGTCCGACCCGAAGACATCAATACTGCAAGCCATCGACAAGTTCGAGAAGAAGATCGGGCAAGCAGAATTCTGCATCCACTGCATGAAGTCGGGACACACAACTCTCAATTGCGAGAAGATCCCTTCATCTTCACCCACAGTCACCTCAGTGTTGAGTGATTGGAAGAAGAGAGTGAAGGGAGAGGTTGCGCCCGACGATGTGCCATCCGGACATCCAACCGATGAGCCTAAGAAGAAGAAGCAGAGAGCATCGCCTACTCCAGATAGGAAGGTCGACAGCGAGTTCAGGCGAAAAGAAATGTTGAAAGCAAGAGTCGTGACAATGTTTGACCATGACGGGTTCACCTTGATTGAAAGTGCCGATGGAGTCGAAGGAGGGACACATTCCTACAATGGGCGGAAGCTTGCGGAAGTAGGCCCTAGGGATATGAGGGTGGTGTACGAATTTGTTGAGAGGGCATTTGTGCACTCCAGCTCCCTCAAACCAAAGGCATGTCATCAATTCTATCCCCTACCGACACGGAGGGAGAAGGGATACAAGCCGATCGACCCCATGACGATGATCGGGGAAGTTGAGCTAGTACCGATCAACGGAGTCACTTTCGCTGCACAGAACTCTGATTACGGCAACCTCAAGTATCCGACTCCAGACTGTCGAGTACCTGAATACAGCCAAGCGAGCCAGGCCCTGAGTCGCCGATTGGGGGCGAAGTTGAGACATCGAATTGGACGCCAGTTCAGAACAGGAGGAAGACTCACTCCAATCAAATGCGATGAAGGCGCATGGGTGTCATGGGAAGACCTGTTAGGTGATAACGCAGTTTGGGAAGACGGTTATCACTATGGCAACATAGACATCGTGACCAAGAAGGCGCGTTTGGAGAAGTACCTCGACCAGAACTATGAGTGTTTCCGCATAACCAAGAGGATCAGATTCCAAATGTTGGCGGTCCGCGTTCACCCTGATGAACTCAATGATCCTGATGACCCGATGGAGAAGGAATGGATTGACGAGCTCAAGGGCATGGGAATCTCCAAAGGAAGACTCCACAATAGCGATGGATGGTGCTTTCCCGTGGCCGTAAGAGCAACCTCAGCACACTCGTCGGACGGTGGAGGTTATGACGTTACCATCAACATCGACCACATTGGATCGAGGATGACCAACGACATGGCCCTATCCATGGTGACTGCATTTCACGCTACCAATCTTGGAGCGCTGACTTCAATCATGCGACGGGGGCTAGTGCCAGGAGGTCTCGGTGCATCGGGAAGGGATTCTATCCACTTCACATGTTTTCCGCCATGGGCCTGGGAGCAGGGCTACAAGGGAAAACCTTGGCTGGGTCGTAAGGTCGCATTGAGTGATCGCCCAGTAGTTCTCTACATTCCGGTGTCGAAGCTGCAGGAGTACGGGCTTCTCATCTCAGCGACCGGATCTCTATTGGTTGAGGACGTCGTTCCCTTCGATGAGGTTAAAGGGGCATGGTTGCAATGCGACAATGCAGAACCCGGACAGCCTGAGGAGATCGAATGGATCAGGTTACTCAATAGAGAACCCGACCCTGGAAGCTACCTTGTTCTGGAGTCCAAATACGGAAACCCGATCATGACCCCACGCTATCAAAAGCTTGAGAGCTTAGCGGTTGAGGTCCAGGATGATACCTACTCCGAAGACGACGCCAAGATCTCAAAGCTGCTGGGCATGGTCGAGGAGAGTGGTGTCTACCCAGAGTACGATAGCACCGAATGGCAGGAAATCTTTGAGGAGATCGTGTACCGCCGAGCAATGAAAGACTATGACTCAAGACCGTGTCCCAACTGTCTCGGCGAAGTCGATGTGCGATTGACGATATGTCCGCACTGCGTAGCGGTTTTGATCGCGAATGGGAAGCTCACGCATGTGGTACCCAAGGAGACAAGGGACCGCAATCAACGATCACCTCCGAGAGACGTGCCAGCCAGTTCTTCCGGTGAAGCAACTTCTTCTGCAGGTGCAAACATCGATGAAGTCATCAAGAATGCACGCAAGACAGCCGAAGAAGTCATTGACGTCGAGGAGTCCGAAGGAGAGGAAGACGAGGAAGTTCCTATCATTTTGAAGGAACGACTGGACGAAGCCGAAGGCGAACCCGAATATCGGGAAGTCCCTCAAGATGGATACGGGAATGAACTTCCACAGCCTTTCCCCTTCGCAATTGACGAATTGCCGCAAGAAGCTGCGATCCCCATCGACCACAACTTTGCAGTCACACAGCAATTTGATCTGAGGTTGATGAAGTTGATCAAGAGCTTGGCCAACGCAACGTTCGACATCAATTGCTTTGAGAGTCGTGAAGACGTACTGCGAAAGTTCGACGATGGACAGCGGCATGATACTCCATTCAATAGATGGCCATTAGTACCGAATGATCCGGATACTGGGTTTCCAAGACGCCTTCAGAGAGCCGAAGTCGTAGGCATGAGCAAATGGACCAACGACACGTATGCAACAGAAGCGTGGCAGATCTATGAATTCCATGCCCACGTCATTCACCCGATGATGATCACTGCAATCCGCTGCGGGCTTAGCCACAAGTATCTCAAAGAGGTCGGCAGCACCCGGCGTAACATGAGCGATCCGAAGGCTCAAAGATCTGAGACCCAGGAAGAGATCATCGAGAAACTGGCATTCATCTCAAATTTCATCAGACGCTTGATTAGAAAGACTTTCGGAGCGAGCCGATATAGTTACTACCAGAAACCAGACGACGAAGGTGCCGCTCCATACAAATTCATCGACATTAGCCCCGCCATCAAGTCGGAGCGGAAGAATGTCACAAAGGAGATCCTCGTTGCATGCCGCTACTACGGCATAGAGGTATCCGATACTCAAACACAGAAATTGAAGTCCTTCGAGGAGCAGATCCGGAGGGGAAACCCAAGGAACGTTGAGCTCATCAAGGACTACATTGGCTTTGTCGGAGCTGACTACATGCGACAACTCACGAATGGTTGAGCATCGGGGTCATCCCGACATACTACTTCCGGTACTTCAAGTACTGAGGGATCTTGGGTAATTCATGATGACCATTTTGGCATCATGGGAGTGAAATAGGATTGTGTTTCACACCGTTGGTAATCGCATGGTACCATAGGTAGATGCACGTTTTCCGTTTGTAGCTCCGTTACCTGTTTGATCCAACTTTCAAGCGAAAGCAAGATCGTTTGCTAATTCAGATCAATAGGACATACTGGTTGACCTCCAATGCACTTTTGAGAACATGATTCGTTCTCCGGTTTTTACATCCACTCATCTCCCTTCCCCGTCGAAGCACGGATGTGGGGGGTGTCAATAGGGATGAGGTCCCAGTATAGTTGCTATACAGGTACATGCCGTAGCCATTTTGGCTCAAGTGCCCAACCAGGTAAAAAGGAGCTTTAGCGCGCGAGCTTCATGTTGAACTAAGGGCTAGAACGGGGCCAGGGCACACTTTCCATCCGTTCGCATACATTGTAATGAAACAATTTGTTGCTTGGATGTCGAAGCAAACCGTTTGATTTCATAAGCGCTGACTGTTCACCCCGGAGTGGACTCCTGCAGACATTAGCGTTAGGATCATTACAAGGGTCTTCCGTGGTCTTCCTCCGCAAGCTGCATGGGTTGGGCGGTTCGTCATCAGCAGTGACTGGGCAATATGATTGCTTTTGGTCTCACTTCAAAAACCATCCTTAGACTACAGTATGTCTCTTTTGAGTGGAGGAACATTGTTTCTTTGAGGTCGATGTCTCTTTCAACACAAACAGGACAGTGGGAGAGTTATTCATAGAAGGTTCTACACTCCGGACTTGCGCATCCCAAACAAGGATCCCATGTCAGAAATCCCCTGCCTTCGCCTGGCCTTTGCGTCATAAGTTCGGAGCTTGGACCGGACTTCGGTTTTCGTCTCAAACTGAGACTTCAATCTTGGAGATTCACCGGTGGTATGACTCAGCTGCTTAAGACCTGCTGCTGGGCTGCCGTCTTTTTGCCGTGTGAAGAGTTGGCGACTGATCATCCAATGGATCAGTGGCCAGTACTGTTAGGAGCAGGACGAAGTGCCAATGGGGTGTTTCAAAATGGTGTTCACTCGTAGAGCCTTAGTTTTTAGTTTGTAGAACATTTGATGTTCTGATTTTTGTATACAGTATATTTTGTGTACTGGTTTTCAAGGTGTTCGAGTCGCGAGTCTTGAGACCACCCCACATGCTCGCTCCTTTTCTGCTTGATTCTCCAATGAACGTGCACTGTGAGAGAACAAAAGCCGTTGCCGAGGCATGTGGGAAGAGTCTGGGGTGAAACCATGAGAAATCCATGGAGTTTGGGATAAGTCTGCTCTCAGAGTCTGGGATGTTGGTTTGTTTTATCTACCATTGAGACTGCGGTCGTTCATCCATTGGAACCGTTTTCTGCGGATTTGGCTTTCGCATTCGGTCTTCGCAGGGTGTTTGGATGTGTTTGGTCTTCGCAGTATGTGAGAGACTTGAGACGGTGCTTCTGCTGGCAAGAGCGTTTCTGAGTCCTTGAGTCGTGTTACCTCCGGCACTGCCCGCTTTCATGTCCACTCAGCTTTGCAACTCTCGTTCGATGGGTCACAACATTAAGGAGTTGACTGATTGAGTCACTTCAATCGCTCAGTGGCATAAACGAAGTATCTTTGAAAGGTGACTGATCTCAGTCAATAACTAGTTGACAAAAGGTCAATTTCTCATCATTCGCGACTGCCTTCGACTTGGCATCACGACCGGGTTTGTCATCGACCAACACAACCGGATCATCCGATCTGTTGAGCTGGTCGTGTTGGACCGCGATGGACCGCGGTGGACGTTTTTGATGTCGAACTGTGCAGGATACAGATCGCAAACTACCTTTGCAAAGGAAATTACACAGCTGGGGCCTCAGTGTTGTCGAATTGCTGCGAGCCTGCGAGCAGATAAGGCTTATTGATCTGGTCGCTGATCCCCCTGGTAGATGATCAAAGTGTGTTGGACCTGGCCTCTAGAAGCTGAACAGCTTGAGATTCAGATTCTTCCGAAGTCAGGCTGCTTAATCAAACTGGAGCTGGCGGAACGCATCCGGCTCTTATGTGGGGGCTGGAGAGGGACCAGTAGTATACTTCTCGATCCCCCAGGAAAGGAACCTTCTCAAAGTCCCACATTGAATGGCCACCTTTTTGCTCAACATCAGAGTGGATGGTGGCCCGTCCAAATCCCATCCACCTACTAGCGTCCTTGTTCCGTTCGTAAGGCCACGGTTCGCCCCGTTCGCTTCGCTACCTCCGATCGCCGCTACCACCGTCTACGTTCGTCCAGGTCTCCGGTGACCAAGAGGCCTGTGCGAAGCTGGCGGAGATTGCCAAGCCGGAGTTCAAGGCACCAGAGTTCCCGAAGATCCGGTGTCGAACACCGAGTGAACTGGGCAAAAACTTCTTTCACCCTGAGGGAGAATGGGAATGGAGATATTCATCAATATCATTGGACCTGGAAAGACGAATCGCTTGAAACAAATGTTTTAAGAATTTTTAAGATGTTTTTAGGCCCCAACCCGCATTGACAGACTGCGATAGACGTGATCTTCTGGACCAGAGCTTGTGCCAGTTGTTCAAGCAGGGTTTGCGTCAAAAGTACCATGAGTACACCAACCATACCCAACTGTACCCGTCACTATGTCTTAAAACTTCTCAAAAGGGGCTGTTGTGGCTGCACTGAACCGCGATTGTGTGCACCTGTTGCGGTGAAAACACGGCGAGCCGGTAGCGAAAAAAAAGAAGGACACAAGACCTGGAATCTATTGACCAACAAGCATACTTGGAGTTGTTGGTTTTCTATCAACACAAAGGTTAGGTAGGCTTGAGATTGCAAATAAGATCAATTAAGTGCTTGTCTCAAAATGAGGGGAACTTCCAACCACTGGGAGTTAATTTCTGTGTATGGTTAAATGCCCCCATAACTAAACACGAATCAGTTTCACTTTCCACGGAGCTTTGGGCTCGAGAACAGGGTATGCTAGCCTGCAGTCGCTGCAAGAAGTGGCGACTACTAGCAGGTCAGTGTACGGTGTGCGCTTCCATCGAACGCCTTCGCGCGGCGGCAGGTAGTGATCGGCTGCCTACCACTTTGGAAGCCGAGGCCAAGGTTACCAAGGTCCTGGATTCGGCCTACTACTCCATTGCCAGGCTCTTTCCTGAGTCGGACGAGGAGGAGGTATCGAAGGGAGGGGCGCCTCCCAAGAGAGTGGTCGAGGAGAAAGCTGCCAAGGGAGAGGCGTCTCCCAAAGAAAGCTCAAAAGAGAAGAGAAAGAAGGCCGAGGATCCAGGAGAGGAATCAGGTAGCAAAAAGGTCAGCGAGAAGGAGGTGCAGAAGAAGGTAGCTGAGGTGTCAAAGAGTGAGGGAAGCAAGGCATTGCCCAGAAAGAAGGAGGAAGAAGAGAACAGGAAAGCAAGAAGCCGAACCCCGCAGAGACAGAGGGAGAAGGATAAAAAAGACAGGGAAAAGAAGGACAGCAAGTCGAGATCTGTGAGCGGCTCACGGACCAGACGGAAGAAAAGGGAGGACCATTCTCCCAGGGCTAGAGACAGTCGAGGAGGACACGAGGCAGTTCGACCGAGCAGTGGCATCCAGAGAGAGCCATACCTCCGCCCTCGTCCCAGTCAGCGAGAACCTCGTTCACCTCGTACTCCCGATCATCCGCCGCCTAGGACCGCTCTGATCCCGCCTGCCGCAGGACGAGACAAGCTCCCAGGCAGAGGGTGGAGAGGCCCGGTACCCTACTCCGATCATCCCAGGTGGAGTGAGGGGACTAACAAAGGTGTGACGAAGAGAGCGAAGCAGGAGCTGTTCGATAGAAGGAACACTCGTGGAAGGTGGTGAGGGGAGTCATGGCTCCCAAGGTGAGACGACCAGCAGCTATGCCGGCGCGGGTGCGCCCTTTGAGGAGGCCTGCACGGGCATCGGAGGCTGAAGAGGCGGAGGCTGACAAGCCGGTGACAGAAGAGTATCATCCCTTGACCTCATTGACGCTAGACAGAATGAAGGGGCTAGACATCGTTGAGCTTGGTGAGACATCGTATTACGGAGCGCATGCCAAGATAGCAGGCCGAATCAGGGGCTTGAAGCCCTCTGATGAGGAGGTGGAATTTGAGCTGACCGGCACGATGACAGACCGCGTGCTGGAACGTTTTGGGGGAGGCCACTCGAGGACAGTGACGGTGCATGCGTGTCCTGCCGGTTGTCCACAGTTGATGACGGGTGACAAGTTCTTCCATGCCCGAGGTTTTTGGGATGCAGCCGTGGCACCAAAGCCCTGGCATACCAACCTCGTCCCTGCTAAGGCCATTGATGAAGGAGAGGTTGATGAGTTGGCCGGACTTCGTGAGATGGCTATGGATCGAGGCAAGGGGAGGGGAGGTGTCAAGCCTCCCAAAGAGGAAGGGCAGCAAGAGAGGAGCAAGTCGCCCGTGGTTGCCGCAGAGAAGAAGGGCAAAAAGAGGAAGAAAAAAGAGAGGACAGCAGAGAAAGAATACGATGAGTTGCTTGCCAAAAAGGAAGAGACAGAGGAGCTTGAACGAGGGCAGAAGACAGCGCGGGCCCTATTCACCAATACATGCCTGCACCCCAATGTACCCAGGCGCAAACGTCTTATGAAGAAGGCCCGACGTGTGAGCAAGAAGAAGGACAAAAAGCGGAAGAAGTCTGACTCAGGTAGTTCCGGGTCCTCATCAAGCTCGTCAAGCGAGACTGAAAAAGGGTCGGAGGAGGAAGGCCCGCTTTTCGAGGAGACAAGGAGGATCAGGAGGTTGAGCGAAAAATGCCCAGGTGCATTGACGGCTCAGGCGTTGGACAATGTGCGTGAACACCTCCTTTCTTCTCGAGGCGAGTTGCACAGCGTGTCGCGAGATCAACTCAGTCCCTTGTTCTCGATGTACACGCACCAACACCTCCAGTCACTTGCAAGTCCGGTGCTTTGGCAGGAGTTGGTGACTGTTGCTCAGGTTTCGGATCTACTGCTCCGAAGGAAAGTGGCAGCTGCGTTGGACGTGCTCGTACAACGTGCGAAGTCACTTGAAGCGACCCTCCGCGGTGGCCATTTTTCAGTTTCGCGCCAGCTGGAGCTAGTCAATGCAGAACAGATCCGTATTGCAGAACCAGCTGAACAGGTCGAAGCAGCCAGAAGCGCGAGAGATGAATTTCGAAATCGCTCCATTGGCAATCGGCCCTACGGCATGGCTCAGCGAGGAGACGGTGACCATCAGCCCAAAGGACGTGGCAAGCCTGTGCCAACCTCAGAACCATCATACAAGCACAAAGGAGGTGAGAAGGGAAGAGGAAAAGAGAAAGGAAAATGGGGAAAGAAAACAAAAGAGGAGAGTTGAAGGGTGGTTCTGAGGAGGAAAGCACAGGCATGGGAAGAAAGGTGAGGAGAAAAGAGCAATTGAGGGCAGATGAGTCAAGGAGAGGTCAGAGGCAAGCGGATGAAGAGAGACAAAAGGAAACAGAAGACGACAGGGCAATCGAAGAGATGCTGACAGAATGCTACCAGAAGGCTTTTGAGAGCGGAAGGACGCTTAGAGACTATGACCTTGGGGGTGAGTTCGGAAGCCAAAACGAGCATCCAAGCCCGCCGGGCCAAGGAGGGGAGACAAAGGCTGCCTCCCAGTCTGAGGTGAGGAGTAAGTAATCTGCAGGTATGGACCGCAGACAGCGCCAAGCCTGGATTGGAGAGCAGCCCTACGATGGCACAGGGGAGGTTTGGAGATCCTCCCAAGTTGCATGGAACCATTCGCCGCGACTGGCTTTGATGCCGTGCCGTGGAGAAGTTTCTTTGACGGAGCAGATGCACCCAGCCTCATGGCAGAAGAACCTGCGAAGCGCATGTGGCAAAAAAGAAAGCAGTTTGAGGGAGCTGAGTCCGGCGCTGTCTCAATCCTTGGAGGTGTTGTCGAAGACCACGCGTTGCGGGCAGTCCACGGAGGGAATTTTTCCTCTTCCACTTCCAGGGACTCTGGGATGGTCTGAACCTGTTGACTCAGCATTGGAGGCTCTTGTTCGAGGGTTGAACCGCCTTTATGGGGTGACCACAGGTGCCAGCACGAGGGTTTCAAAGATCCAGAAGAAGATCCTGGTGCGCTTGAGGGAGGTGATTAGGTGCAGTGATTGGCCAGAGGTTGTCCTTCCTCCCATAACCTTTCAGGAGTTCTTTGCAACAAAGGGCATTGATTATTCAGGGGAGGAGGTCCGAGTAGCCAAGTCATTTCAATGGAAGATGGTGGCTGCTGCATTTCCCGAGGGTGTAGGGACATTGGATCTAGAAGCTTTCTGTGAGGGAGGAACTCGGTCGTATGTGACAGACTTCGAGCAATTCCTGCTTCCGCCCCAGGATCAAAGCCTCGGGAAGACCCCCTCGATCATGGTCAACCAGGAGCACTGGGCCGAGGTGTGCCGCGGCCTGATTGAGAGAGGAGTTTGTGGGGTGATGAGACGTGAGGACCTGTTTCATGTGGGGGGTCGACCTGTACTAAACGGACTTTTTGCCGTGGAGAAGGGTGAGAAGGCAGTCGACGGTAGAGGTGAGGAGTTTGAGGTGTGCAGGTTGATCATGAATTTGGTTCCGACCAATGGTCTCTGCCGTAACCTGGTGGGAGACACATCAACCCTACCCACTGTGACAGGGATGTCGGGAACGGTCTTGGAGGATGGTGAGTTGCTTTTGACCTCTTCAGAAGATATACGTTGTTTTTTCTATCTCTTCCGAACACCTCCGCAATGGCACCGTTTTATGGGGTTTGGACGGGAGGTCCCTGCAGAGGGCCTCCCAGAAGGATATGCAGGAGGTGGCTGGCATCTTGTAAGTCGGGTCTTGCCGATGGGATTTGTGAACTCGGTGGCGATAGCTCAACATGTCCATCGTCGAGTGATTCATCAGGCTTTAGGTGGGGAAAGGCGCTTGGCCGGAAAGGAGCAAGAGATCCGGCGTGATCGACATCAGAGCACGGCATCGCACCAGTTTCGAGTCTATCTGGACAACTATGACGAGTTGCATAAAGTTGACAAGAGGACAGCAGAGATGTTGAAAGGGTCGCCCTCGGCGTGGAGTTTGGCTGTGCGTGAGACTTACCAAACGCTGGGACTACCCCGACATCCCAAGAAGGCGGTTACCCAGGAGGTGCGTGCAGAGGTGCAAGGAGCTTGGGTGGATGGAGAGTTAGGGCGTGCTTCACCAAAGATGGAGAAGGTGGGAAGGTATGTGAGGTTGGCAGTTGAGATCTGTGTCGCAGGCAGAGCGTCTCAGCGTGAACTACAGGTGGTTGGCGGTGGCTTTGTCTACATTGCCATGTTCCGAAGACCCTTGTTGTCAGGCTTGAATGCTGTGTGGAGGCAGGTAACTGAGCTAGGGACCCTGGGGCCGTTGGTGAAGAGGCCTTTGCCGGTAGAGGTGGCACTAGAGTTGCTTCGCTTTGTGACCCTGACGCCACTGGCCTACATGGACTTCCGCTTGACGACGTCGGAGATAGTGACGGCGAGTGACGCCTCCACCACAGGCGGAGGTCTTTGTGTCACTAGGGAGCTCAGCCCTTTCGGAGTCGCAGCATGTCAGGCAGAATGCCGAGGTGATGTGGTTGAGCCCGAAGAGATGGACCAGGTGCTTGTGGTGTCGTTGTTTGATGGTATAGGTGCTCTGCGTGTGGCCTTGGACGCTTTGCGGGTGCCTGTGGGGGGATACGTGTCGGTTGAGATCTCCCCCGAGGCGAATCGGGTCGTTGAGTCCTACTTCCCGGACGTGGTCTGCGTGAGTGACGTGGCGGACGTGACGGACGAGTGTGTGCTTGGCTGGAGGTTGCGTTTTGCCAACGTTGGTCTGATCTTGTTAGGTGCTGGACCACCGTGTCAAGGTGTTTCGGGGTTAAACTCCGACCGAAAGGGGGCTCTGAGAGACGTGCGATCATGCTTGTTTCAACATATTCCCAGGGTCGAAGCACTTCTGAAGCGACATTTCAAGTGGTGCCCCGTCCACCGTCTGATTGAGAATGTGGCATCATCCATGGACACTCGCGATTGCCTCACCATGTCGGAGGCTTATGAGACGGTCCCTTGGTGCATTGACGCGGGAGGAGTCAGTTTGGCCAGACGACCACGACTGTACTGGTGCAGTTGGGAGCCCCTAGAGCTAGAAGGCGCCAAGGTTGTGAAGGGGAGAGAGGGTGCTCTCCCAGTGCAGGGAAAGGTAGAGTTGCACGTGACAGTTGATGAACAAGATTTCCTCGAGCCAGGATGGCGTCGGGCGCGACCAGAAGGTTCATTGCCCACCTTTACGACCTCTCGACCTTCCGCTGTGCCAGGACGCCGCCCTGCCGGGTTGGCCCTATGCCCGCCGGACGCTGTGGCTAGGTGGAGTGCAGACCTACATAGGTTCCCGCCTTACCAGTATCGCGAAGAGAACTGCGTGGTCAATCGCCAAGGTCAGCTTCGTGTGCCATCTATTAAGGAAAGAGAGGTCATCCTTGGATTCCCTCTAGACTATACTAGAAGGTGCATGGTGAAGAGTCTGGAGGGAAGCACGAAGCATAGTGATTGTCGCCTTAGTCTCCTGGGGAACAGCTGGTCTATACCGGTAGTCGCGTATCTTTTGTCCTGCCTCTTTAGGACCTTAGGTATGCTACCGATGATGGATTTGGCATGCTTGGTGAAGCGCTTGACGCCAGGGCGAGAGCAACAGCTGTCCAGTTTACTATTGAGGCCGCCGTTGAGGCAAACCACAAAGGCAGGAGAGGAGCAGACAGGCTTGGTGTCGCGTCTGTTAGGGCAAATCTCCGTGAAGGGTGAGGACATTTTGCTACAGCTTGGGACTGATTTGCCAGCTCGCTACCATAGGTTGAGAGCATCCATTCCCAGCAAGCTGTGGCGATGGAAGGACGTTGCAGGTTGGAGGTGGACCGGCGACGTGGAGCACATCAATGCCCTTGAGTTAAGAGCTGTGAAGACGGCCCTGGTCTGGCGACTGAAGGAGTTGGCAGACAGCTCATGCCGTTTCCTGCATTTAGTTGATTCATTGGTGGTGTTGCATGCCTTGTCGCGGGGGAGGTCATCGAGCCGGAGATTGAGACGAACCTTGTGTCGGATCGGAGCGCTTCAGTTGGCAGGTGGTTTAGTTGGTGTTTGGGGTTATGTGGCTACCCACCAGAACCCCGCAGATCGGCCTTCGCGCCGCCCACTCCGCAAAAAATGGGGAAGAAAACCACGAAAGTAATGGAAGGAAGAAGCCAACAGGAGCGCAAGAAAGTCCGCAACAAACTAGGATCCCTCAAGGGTTTGACTGTGCAACCTCGCACCCGGCAACGATACACCGAAAGTCTCAACAAGTTCTTTGACTGGATGGCAGGGGAGGGGTTAACCCTCCCAAAGCAACAAGCTCGCTTAGACCCTCTTGTCAGTGACTACCTTGAACACCTCTGGGCTTCTGGAGAAGGAAAGTCCGTGGCTAACAACACCTTGGCCGCCTTGCAAGACCGCGACCCTTCCCTCAAAAAGAAACTCCCTGGCAGCTGGAGGCTGTTGAAAGCATGGAGTACGGTGGAGATCCCCAACAGGGCACTTCCAATGACGGTGCAAATTCTCGATGCCTTATGCAGTTGGTCCCTGTTCCACGGCTGCCCAGAGTTCGGACTCTCCTTGAGGGTTGCTTTTTTCGGGTTGCTCCGAACTGGAGAACTACTGAGCCTTCGGGCAAAAGACATTTTCATTCCTGGACCTAAGGGACCTGCTGTTCTGTCCCTTGGACTTACGAAGGGAGGTGCCCGTCAGGGTGCAGCAGAGAGCGTTACGCTGCATGACCGCTCTATCCTCCCATCTTTGTGGAAATGGAAACAGTCTGCTAGTCCGTCAAAATTTTTAACTGCTAAGCCACATGCCTGGAGGGCCATGTTTACGAAAGCCAACGAGGCACTGCGTTTGAACGACCTGCATTTCAGACCCTACAGCTTACGTCGCGGGGGTGCGACGTTTTGGTTCAACCAGCACGGTTCGTTTGATAGGTTGCTCGTGCAAGGGCGTTGGGCTGCGGCCCGTACTGCCAGAGTGTACCTGAACGACGGTCTTGCTCAGTTGGCAGATCTGTCTCCGTCGAATTCATTTTTAATTCCTTACTTCAACCTGTACTGTAAGAGCCCAAACCTTGAGCCTGGTACGCCTCAAGGGCGTGCCAGGTCAGGGGGACGTGGAGGAGCCAAGAAGGGAAAGTGATCGTCTCGGATTTTCATTTTTTCCGTATGCGCGCCTGAATTTCTCGGAGTGGAGAAATCAAGGAAAGCACCCGGTAAGGACTGGAGTTAGTCAGGAGTGGTTTCCTTTCTCAAGAGTACCTGAGCCTAGGGGACATCGGGTTTGGCGGATGCTC